GGCAAAACGTATACACTTATGTACAATCATATATACTTGTATGTTTATAACAGGAGAATTCCAAGAACAGGTAGTTATTTCTACAAGGCTTCCGTGCTCGTTGAACTAATCTCCATAACAGTACACGGCATACAAGTCATATTCCGCGGACAGAGAGGGCTGCAGATGCAAATATTTCAGTTGCATGCAAAATTCCATTAACATTCCGCCGCGATTTCGGGGAGGGGGGCGTGGAACGCGGGACGCGGCGGCCTTCCAGGAAGCCAGGTCGCGGCTGCGTGTCGCATCACGCGTGCGTGCGGGCGTGTGCGGACCGCTGTCGCCGCGGGAGACGCGACGCATTTTGGCCACGTCTCCGTCCGACTGCAACGGGCTGCTGCGCTCGCCAAAAATGCTCGTGTTGTAGCCTGAGTAGAGTAAATGCTTACTTGCTGCGTAAAATGTCGTAACTGAAAATTAATTCATGTTCATTCAGTGATGCAAAAGCTTAAATCAAGCACTAACAGCCGAGTACTAAGCTCCGTCGGAGACTTTCTAGGGGAATGACATATCCATTGGCGGGCGGAAAGTGGGAGGGGGCTGGGGGGTCTTAGCTAGCGTGGCCGCCGTTACGCTATCTCAGGAATAATTATTTAATTATATTATAAATACATAACTATTTCTATTAAATTAATTATTAATTTGGAGGGCGTTCCGGGATTACAAATTGTATAAATCAAGTACTGATAATAATCATAATAATAATAATAATAATAATAATAATAATAATAATAATAACAATAATAATAATAATAATAATAGTGGCATAAAGAGAGTGATGTTACGGCTTGAATAGAACTCGGTGCTTTTGCTTCCCTCGTGTTGTTTATTCAAACGAGATGACAGCGCTTTTTTTTTTTCTGACCATTTCCATGCTTGTGTGATACAGGCATAAGAAATACTGTTTAGAGAGGCCGAAAGTATTATCAAGCCATCTAACGATTTTCTTGCCTCTCGGAGTAAGGACTTGGAGCAAGATTGAAGGACAGGAGGGATTGGGCGCCAGCCGCGCGCGTGACGAGGCAATTTCGCAGTTCCAGAAGCTTCGCGGGGTTCTGACCTCTCCACATTCAACTCTCTCCAAGAAAAGTTTAAGAGTAAAGTATTTCAGTCGCCTAGCGATCAAGAGTATGCGTCTAGTAAATTCCTTTTATGAAACATGTCTCGTTTGGTGAAAACATTTCAGAAAGGGAAGTAGTGTTTCTGAAAAACGACTTCTGATATTGGAAAGTAATATTTATTAGTAAAAATTAGTAAAATGTAGTGTTTTGATATCTTGAATCTGTGATGGTCAGAAAGTGAATACAACAGCAAAACTACATCTGGGGAGTGTCGTTTTAAGCTGTTTTATCCAAAATTTAAAAGCAGGTAATGCTGAAAACACTGAACTCATAAACGAGGAGTGTTAAACCTTACAATGTATGAAACTGACGAGTCTAAAACTTGTCATTAAATATTTCAAATTGGTGTATGTATGGAATTAAATTACTTAAAATTTTTATTGATTTTTATTAGGGAAGTTATAATTAATATTTAGGGAGGTCATTATATCCATAACAACCTCCCCATGGCCACAAGAGGAAAACAAATATCTAAGATTTTTATTGTACACATTTAGTGGCGTATTAAAAATTCGCGTTTGAAACAATACAAAACAATTTTCTATACGGTTATTAACTTATAACATAGAATACTTTACAATAGCAAGATTATTTAATATATTGAGAGAGCTTCAGAGCAAAGAACATAGCAACTTAGATGCTCACCCCTCACCTTTTTGCTAAACAAAGACAAAGAGCAGAATTTTGATCAGTGGGATCTTATTGGGAGCACATTCAGAATCCAGGACAATCTGATAAAACACAAATTGTTTTCACTTCTCCAGTCCTCCTAAATCTCTTCCTCAGCAACATATCAATCTCAGTCTTCTTTTCCTCAGTAATACACTAGTAGAGTGGCACTCAGCCAGTGGTTTTCGGACGAGATGTCCTGCGCGCCCTCTTTTCAAAATTCATTTTTATCCTTCAATGGACGTAATACTATTTGAAATGACGCTCATCATCTGTTATCTTGAATCACCCCTGCGACTAATGGTGCTACAACAGCACCTAGTTTCTCACATTCGTTCTAAATTTGGAATTTTCGAAAATTAAGAGATCTCCGCGAAAATGAGACCTGCGTCATTCTTTTAAGCGTCCCTTGCTCAATGCGTGGAAAATGTAAGAACAAATTTGGACCAGTTTTTAATATTTTTTTTAAAATACTGTGTATTAACGTCAAGCAGAAATTACGCTGTGAAATTACGCACAGGTTTTTCAAAAAATTTACATGACTTTTTTAATGTTGTGATTTTTTAGAACTGATATTGTTGAAGACCAAATATATCAATTTTTAATTTTGTTCTTTACCAATGTTTACCTTTTTCAATTTTCAAAAATGCAGTTTGCCAAAAATGGGACTAGTACATATTTTATACCGTTCTTCGACACATTCGAAGAGAAAATTAAAAGAAAAAAAATTAAAGCCGTTTTTAAGAAAATAATTGTTTAAACGTTCCCTACATTTCACCCAAAATTACGAGGCTCGATCATCCCTCCCGCGGTTCTGCCCTTCCCTTCACCACCGCCCTGACCTTCCACGCGCCGCCCTGCAACAGTCACCCGCCCGGTCCACTAGTCTTCCTCCTCTGATCGCCGTCCTTCGCCTCGCCCCCCCCCTCCCAGCGATCCAACCGGTTGGGCCACCGCGAGGCAATCGTCACGCCGGTTATCTGATAGCAAATATAATATTGCTATCTGATTTGCGTGGCAAGTGCGTTTCTCCTCCGAGGAAATTAGTCGGCGTCTGCGGCTTGACATCGGACGCTGGGAAATCGAGACTCGTCCCACACTGGGCCCCAACGGACCGACGGGCGCGCACAGCCACGCTTGAACACCAGAACGGGGGGCGGAGGGGGGACTTCGAAGTGTCTCAAGATGTACCTACGTACTAATGTTTGGAGAGACTTGAGAACTCTAATTTTTATGGGAATAATGCTGATTCGGAATAAGGCTGATACACTGACTCTTAAATGTTTGCATAAATTGAACCATACGCTGAGCCACAATAACAGCTAATGAGAAATAATGTGAGAAATAATTAGAAATATTCTAGACGCAAGAAATCATGATTCGAGGTAAATCCACCAATATTATACTACCTCCATTGCGACAATACGTATTCTACACTGCGATTAGAAACTATGTTAACTTCAAAAAGAGAAGTCTGCACAGCAATATCCAGACAATAGACTAGATGTATTTTAAGATAATCTGAAAATCGATTCCAAGAAATTTGCATCTAGTTCTGCGGCACATGTAACCCTGGTATTTATGAAATCATTTGAATTTAATTTTAATTCAATGCAAAATGCCAAAAATATTGTTTTTCTCTTCAAATTTCGCTAAATTGCTAATGTAACATTACAATATCAAAATATGCTTTTCTGGACTACCGAAAAATTAATATTTTAACACAAGTATTTATAAGAATGCTCCGATCACTTTAAAATATTAAATAACGGGGAGATGTAAAAGTGAGGACCTGCCACTAGCTCATCACTACTGTGTATGTCCCATGACCCACAGGGTGGTCCCAAGGCAAAGAAAAAATATCGATGGTTACTTGTTCAAGCAACGAGAGGACTAAAAATCGCCCTTTCTCCTCACCTACCTACACGCAGAAAAGAATATTGGGTCTCACCATCACCACATTCCCCAAGCCAAGGAAATGAACATCCAAACACTTGTAAGAAAATAATACTGGCTATTACGATATCATTTAAAACTATCACAAAAATTATTGCTACACAAAGTAATAAAATTTCAAATATGAAACTACACTATCAAAATCTGAGCCTGAGCAAGTCAGTGTATCCTCTCAATAAAATGTACAGAAATTCCAATGAAACATGATAACAAGATAAGCGCCTTGGCTTACCTCAAACGCAGCGATACTTGGTATCTAAAATGCCGACAGTCTAGGAAAGAAGTGAATCAAGCAGTTCTTGTGATCTTCTTCGTCT